CCATCCAGGAGAAAATCACAATACACAACATGCTCCTCACGCCGGTAGAAAATATCCATCTTAAACTATGGTAGAAACTATCGAGAACTCTTCGAAACCCATTTGCACATAACCAAGCCATCAGAACTGAATCTCTCTAACTCAACCTAGCCACGTAGGTCGTCAAACCCAAGAGTATTGCCACACAACACCTGTAGAGACTCACCACATCATAAGTACCCGAAGAACTGATCATATCCATTACCGTGCTGATCCACCCTACTACCAAGCTGTCCTATTTCTCCGAGTTCCTTCCGAATTACCCTCAAATTGACACTTCTCCTTGCCAGAACACCACGATATTTACCCAAAGCTCACCAAACGAGATCCTACCATAAAACCACACTGCCTTAAGGCCCATAAGCCAATGTATTCCCTTTTAAGCACCCCAAAAGTACCACAATAGAGACACCCACATTGAAGATGCCTTCTGTGAATCTAAAGTCGTTTCCTTCACCTCCCTGATACTGAAACGTAGAATCCATAATGATATAGAAATACTACGAGTCTCGACACCATCCAATGTAAATCTCAAATTCTAGCCATATACAAATCCGAAGAATTCTCAATTGCTACGTATAAATCTTAAATCCATTAGAACCTTCTCGAGAGTTATCCATTCTGCTCAAATCTCAATTGCACCGCCCAAACGGGCCGAACGACCTGTGCCCCATTAGCACAACAAAACCCAAAGGAGTAACCCCGCCTTAACGCAACCGAGCAAATTCCTACTCCATGCGCATTACATCCTTCACGAATACCAACTCAATCATTCCATGATTCCCATATACCCATAAAGTGTAATACACCATGCATCCGGAAATTTTCTTGCTTAAGTCATCCTCAAAACTAGCCTCTACAAGTCATAACTGATCCACAAGAATGCCTCAGACCAAAACCAATAAAACACATAACCATGCAATCAAATCTTTGATAACAGACTCTCCCACTTGGCTCAAAGCCATAGATAAAAAATTCGGTAACTCACAATACCCATACTTTATTACTCCCATAATACCGCTGTGAGATTCAACTAAATTCTTCACAAGCTCATGCAACACCAACCATAAAATACTTCAAATCATCCGCTAAGCTCGCATTCATCCTCGTGACAATTAGTTCAACTTCCTCAAGCGATCCAAACCAATTAATGTATTTGCGAGTTTTCCTGATTTGGATTGTGACAACCTATTTGGTGAGGTCCATTATATATATATATGCTCCGGTTGAGGAGGTAACTGCTAATTAATTGAGAGCTCGAGTTCATTATGGAGAGGTGGATTGTACCAAGTATTTATACTTACTTATTTCGTTTATTTACTCTGCCTCACCTATGTTTACTTCTTACTGTATATGATTTATTGGACCACTAGTAAGTGTCGATGTCGACCCCTCGTTACTATTTTTCCGGGGTTAGGCTAGATACTTACTGGGTACACGTTGATTTACGTACTCATGTTGCACTTGCTGCACTTATTGTGCAGGTACATATATGTCTAGTGGTCTTTTGGGCTCAAAGGCACGACTATTGCAGAGATTTTACTGTGAACTGCGTTCCATGTTACGACCTGCAGCCTGCAGAGTCTCCATCAGAGTTATTTATATTCTCATGTCTAATATGTATTCCAGACAGATATTGTATTTTATTATATTTTCTAGTTGATGCTCATGCACTTGTGACACCGGATTTTGGGGGTTCCTAAGGGTTGTTCATTATCGTAGTTTGTGTAAATATTATCATTTACCCTGTAAGTTCTATTTTATACTATTTAATTAATAGAAATTATGATTTCAAAGTAATAAAATGAGTAAACAAATTGATCAATCACCGTTGGCTTGCCTGACAGTGGTGTTAGGCGCCATCACGACCTTGAGTGGATTTCGGGTTGTGATAACTTATAATATCATATTTTAATCAAGCATAAACTTTGAAGGGCAATTTTATCTTTAACTAAACTAATATATGCATTAAAACTCATTGCATTGTTAATACCATAGTTTCCTATGCATTAGTTATGCATAGAATAATACCAAATCGGGTGTATAACTAATACTTGCACAACTAATGTAGGTTCAAAAAGTGTACCAAACAAGGTACTATTAATACACAAAGTTAATGCATGTATTATTTTATCTAATGCATCCTACCAAACAACCACTTAATGTATGTATTAGCATGGTTAAAGATAAAATTGTCCTTAAAGTCGGTTAAAGCTAAAGAATATGGAGGGCATTTTTGTAAACACCTAATTTTCTTAAAAATTATACAATGCATTTTAATTTTTAATATACCACACCAAACAGTGACACGAAGAAGACATGCATCAAATTAATATAAGGATTTTAAATTTATGTTAAGTTCAATAATCAAAAAAGAAATATTATTAAATGTTGGTGCTTTTCATGTTGCTAACAATTTGTTCTCTAATTAAACTGATTCTTTTCGTATTCTCTAATTAAATTGGATATTAATGCGTAATAATAATCATATCCTATAATGAAGTATATCTTTATTCACTATTTTTAAATCTTTTTTATAGTTTATGTTGTAACTTGAGAATTATTATCTTTTGGTTAGTTATCGTTATTATTAAGAAGTTGAAGAAATAAAAAGAGATTCGATATTTTTTAAAGAAAGTGAACGGTTAGAGAAGTAAGAAAGGGGAAGGGGAAAAAGGGAAATTTAAAGATAAAATGGTTATAAAGGGAAAGAAATGGAAATAAAAGGCAAAACTTACAGAACAGATTCATATAATTAGATATTTATATGCACATAATAAATGTACAAAGAACTAACCATATCTTAAATTTGTTGAACATATGCACAGAAACCGTTTTTCTTGAAATTCTTTTCCTTCTTTACTTTATTTTAAGAAAAATAAAAGTATTGTTTCACTTATATAGATTATACAAAAATCAAGTATTGTTGGAAGACTAAAAACTCTAAGTGATGGAAAATTATGAAAAATGTATAAAGTTAAGTGTAGATAATATAATTGGTTAAAATTTGAAATATTTGAATTTGAAGACAAAAGAAATTTTAAAATTTTTGGCATTCGTAAAATCTAATAATTCGCGCGAAGCGCGGGTGGATTTACTAGTTTATCATAGTAGAGGGATATATCAAACCCTTTCTGATTTTATATTTTCTTGACCGCTTCTCTAAGTTTCAGAGAAGAGTCTATTCCTCTTGTGCCATATTTCATTGCACCTCTTTAAGTTTGATATCCTTTTTCTCTATCCTTCTTAGTATGATTATTTTTTATGCATATATCATTGGCCCGTTGTTTGCCAACA